ACAACATTAGTAACAAAGAAACAGAATTTCCGGAGCATGAGGCCCAGAAATCAGGATTTTAAAAAGATTCCCAGGTGATTCTAATGTGCAGCCAAGGCTGAGAACCACTGCTCTATGTGACCCCAAGTATTTCTGAATAACCGCCTGATAAACTTACTGGCCTTCACATGAGCCCATTCAGTGCCTTCATTATCTGCTCTGGATTCTAAGATACCTGCTGAGAGTCTAAGGCTGGAACCTAATGTAGTCCTTGATTCTTTTCTCGTCATTGCGGCTACTCATTCATTTCACAGGTGTGAAAGGAACCTGGGAGCAGGCCCTTTCTCCACCCTGCCTCTCAAATTTCTGCCTTGTGGCATTTTCAGTTGGCCTGTCAGGAAGAGGTCCAGTCCAGTAAGTGACTTCCCTACCACCACCCTGTCTCCAGGAGCACTTAGGACATTTGGGCAGCTTCCTGAATTCGTCTTTTTCCTCCTCCAATTCTTTCTTCTCTCTGCCAGGTCATCTTTGGCTTGTCTCCCCAGCCCTCCCAGAGTCCCAAATGGTGATGGTGACTGTCTGTCCCCCTCCCCTCTAGACTGTGAGCCCCACGTGGACAGGTAGCTGGTCAATCCTTTTCTCCCCGCAGTATCCCCAGCAACCAGCACAATGTGCAGTACTGTTGACCTTCATTGAGTGAGAGGATGAATGCTCAAGAGACTCTGTCTTCAAGAGGCAGCCTCCAGGAGTCCCTGAGCTGCAGCCACTTCCCAGGACCAGTAGGTGGTGCAACCACTTGCAGCATCTCACCTGACGTCCTCCAGCCCCTGGATTTGGACAGTCCTGGAAAATGGGCGTTATTTTGTGGGGTGAACATAATGGTCCATTAGAATGCAGGGGAAAAAATATTAGAACTTTGATTTACATTTATTTTCATCTCATCTTTTTTAAATTTCTATTTTTGTGTATGTTTTATAATGTACATAATATTTTAGTACAGTAGAACATGTATATAATTTACAATAAATAATTATACAATTAAGAAAGTGAGCTAAAAAATGTTCTTTACTGATCGGAGGCACAACAAGTGCTCAGGGAAGTACATCTGTCTGCAACAGACAGGGCTTGCTCCTCTGTTTTCACTCACCTGCCCTCAGAAGGTGGATTGTGGGAAGCTGACCCCCAAAATCAAAAGACCTTTGAGACAGCATGGAGAAAGTACAGAGAGCTCTTTATGTTGCCACACTGCTCTTTCAATTTCACTTAAATGAGCATTTAATTATCCTCAGCAAAATGAAGGGGCCAGATGGTTTGATTAGAAATACACTTCAGCTGATCCAAATTAAATAATCTGCTTTCTGTCCTTGGTGATCAGGGTTCTCTCCAGCTAGTCCTCAGTTGATTTTTCAGGGTGGTGCTTCTGTATTTTAGTTGTATTTCCAGTTTGGTCATGGGAGAGTGTCATTGTAGCTTCCACCTACGCCGCCGCCATTTTTCACACAATCCAAATTAAATAATCTGGATTTAAATCACTACATCTCTCCACAGATTCACATATCCCTTGCATCAAATATGAGTGGACTTGTAATTGTTGGGTACTTAGTTGCAAGGTTGACTTATTAACTAAATATGTTACCACTGAGATCAAATTGCTGGCCCAACTACATTAATCTATTTAAAAAATAGAAAGGATTTACTCATCATAGCTGCATTGAGGGTGTCATCACCCCACCACTTGTCAGTCTGAAGAACTCAGGGTTTAAAGGATGCTAGTCTGTGATCATCATGTGGCAAATTTCTCTTTCTTCCCAAACATGTCCTTAGCTAGCATTTCTGAGTCACTACAATAGTGAAAGAAATATCAACTTAAAAAACAATCAGCAACTTGTCATTCCACCTTTTCCCAAGACCAAGGATAAACAGTTTCCACAACCTTTCCCCCATCAAATATCTTCCAGCTTGTTGACAAGTGGCTATTTGCAAGGCAGATTGTCTTTTATTCCTGTAACAGTAGATCTGAACAAGAGGCCATCTCTGGAGCACAGAGACCTGGCAGCACCAACATAAAGACCAAAAAATAAACAGAGCCACGGCCCCATCCCACTCACACACCATGATGCCTGTGGGACAGGTAGGGTGGCACAAACACACACTGCCTATTTATTCCAAAACATCAACTGTAAGAGCTATGTAAGTCACAGGTCAGCCGGAAGAGGGGGGAAAATGGAGTGAGAGGAGGTCAATACTATTTCCACCTTTCCTTCCAGAGTGTCAGGGCCACCAGGGGGCCAGATAGCAGCCCTGAAATAGGCTTTTCCTTCATCTTATTTTATCCTCTAATTGATATCAGTTCCAAAACCATCTTTAAAGGGGGTTCTTATATAGATATGTAATTCCTGTATCTATACACTTGTGTCCGTATAAAAGAAAGCAGCAGTGGCCTCAATGGATGGAAGGTGAGATGGACGCACACGAGTGGAGACAGCTCAGCTCGGAGGAACAGACCCGGGTCCTTGATTATTGCAATGTGAGCGGGAGAATGGGGTGTGATTCCAGAGGCTGCTGTGTAGAGGAAGTGAGGATAGTGCTGGTGGTCTGCAGACCTGCTGCTGCTCAACTCAGAGGAAGGAGAAGGAAAAAGGGTGGGGGTCCAAGCTGAGACCTGGAGTCCAGGCCTGCCCTTGGAAACAAGGGAGATGAGGGAAGAACTTGTGAGAAGACAAAGGCCTGGGAAGTCCACTGCCCTTCCCGCTTCACCAGTGAGCTGGTATATAGAGCATGCACACAACAGGCCTACAACATGAGGCTCCGTGGTGGACAGGGATGCAAGGGCTGAGGAGAGGGTCTGAGGCCCAGAAAAGCCCTAGAATACAAAATCAATGCCATGAATAGCATCTCCATCTCCTTGGCTCATGGGGCTCTCCACACCCCTATGGCTGCCCATCAACTGCCTGGAGCTGGCCCAATTGGCCTGTGGCTGGAATTGTGCTCTCTGACCCCTCTGGGGGCATTTGCCTGCTCTGGGGCCTGCTCATCTGTGGAGCTAAGTCTCAGGTCCAGTGGTATCCTTCGTGGCTTTGCTGCCAGTCACAGTTCCATGGCCCTGGCTGAGGGCAGGGCTCGAGTGTGTCTTGCGGAGGGAAGGGTCCTCCCCTTCCAGGGGGGCCAGCCGGGCCTCAATCCGCTCCAGGTCATCTGAGCCCACTTTGATTTTCTCAGCCAGGAGGTGGATAT